TTTTAATATGTAAAATTAAATTTGAAATGTATGAAATTTGCAAGAAAAAAAATTATCTAATAATCAAAATGTTAACAATTGATGTGAAGAAAATAAAATGCAGCAGAAATGAAATCAAATTGCGTCAGTAATACTCAATAAAATTAATATTTAATTCAATTTATTAAATTCAAATTACATTATCATGTTATAAATTAAAAAGAGGAATTTCGTTGTATAAAACGATAAATAAGTAAGGCTCTCACATTGGATTACTTAATGGGAATAACGAATAAGTTTGAATATTCTAAAATCAAAATCATTCCATTTCATCATCAAGTTCACCAAAATTAATCAGTTAACTTAAATTTAAATTCTATGACTCATTTTAAATATCAGATGACGAAAAAAAAATTATTCAAAATAAAATGTATTACTTACTATTCATTTGTGCAATACGGTATCGTTTTTTAGAAATTAATTATTTTAATTTGCGAAATTGAAATTAAAAAATTCAAATTCAGAATTCTTTCTGATGCTCTAAATTTTTGAATCGAAAAGTACGAACTTGAATTAAATGCATTAACTCAAAATTTATACTTAAGAACAATGGAAAAATGTTTGCTCCTCTTTTTTTCGCTTTCAATTTAAATTTAATACTTTTTCAATCAGCTTTTCCAAATTACACTTAACATTTTTGGTCTTGTAAAAATAATTCTTCCAATGCGCTGAGTAATAATATTCATTTAAGGTATAAAGGTCATCGCAACCGGCAATATTCAGTTAGAAGAGCAAAGGTCATTCTTCTTTTCTTTTCTCTTTCTTTATCCCTTTCTTTTTCTCATCCTCTTCCTGGTCATTTAAAGAATACGACAAAAGTGAACAAAGAATATCCTCTCCCACTTTTCTCCCTCCTGTCACCATCTGTTACGGCTAATATCGATCTTGAATGACCTCGTGTCAATAACTTCTCTTTTTTATCCAATGCTAAACTTTCTGACTTGTTCACTCGTAAAGTCAATCAATTATCCCATCTGATTAAGTCTAACTAAGACATACCAGGGGAATTGTTGAGAGGAAGGAGAGAGAAAATGAAAGTAAAAAGAAAGGAAATTTTAAATGAATCGATTCATTTGTTCCAAATTACAGTATCAATTTTTCCACTAATTCAATCTTTTCTCGACAAATTTTTCCAAATATGAATTTTTTGAAAAAATTAATGTATTAACGTATTAACCATCAATTAATGTATTAACCATTAATTTTATTTTTACCATCAATATGTTTTTTTGTTATTAAATTTCATCTAACAATTGCATCCCACTTTACTTCTCGAAGTACTGAATAAAAAGTTTGTAATGAATTTAGAAAAAAAGGAAACATTTTCAGAATAACTTCCGAAAAATGTTTATTCATTTCCAAATATTCATAATTATTACATTTATTGGACGATTTATTGCCAAACCTGTCGATGAAAGCTTGTCAGTATCAAAAAATGAAAATCAGGTAAAGTTTTCAAATATAATTAAAAATTTGAAATCTTATCATTAAAGAAAAGATGAAAAGTAGGGAAAAGAAAAAAAGTCGAGTATAAATAAAAGAAAATTATTATCAAAATATATTATTTGATAATAATGATGATAAGAGGAAAAAAAATAATTCGCGAAAATAAATGAGCATATAGAATGATAATTAATTTTGACGCGAAAAAAAAAAAACATAAAGTGATTTTGAAATAACTATTATCGAGAAAAAAAAAAGGAGAAAATTAGTAAAATTTGAATTCTTTTCTTTGTCTCATGATTATATTTAATTTGAAAGAAATTGTTATTATATATCAGTAAAAATAAAGAATGTAATTTTAATTTTTGAAAAAAAAAAACAATATTTTAGCCATTATGCTTAATTTGCCAAGAGAAGCAACAAAAATTTGAAAACGGTGCTGACGATGATGGAATAAAAATTGCTACATTACTTGAATATGACCGAACAATGGTTGGTATATTTTAAATTTGTTAAAAAAAAAAAACAATTTGTTGAATTCATTTTTTTTTCATCCTATAATAATGGTTATTGGAAAATAAATGCACTCATAATGTTATATAAATAATTAACTCTTAATTGCATTCAAAAAATCATAATGTTTGCTTAAATTACTTGTTAAATCATTTATTCATTTAAAATATCATCAGCATGATGGATCGATGTTTTAATTTGAATGTAATAAATGGTAACCAAGTATTTCAGGGAATTGATAATCTTGATGAAATTGAAAATGAAGTTTTATTGATCAATTCAACAGCATGGTTGCAAAATCCAAGCGATCCAAACGATTGGAAGGATGCAGTAGCAAATGTTCGTCACTTTTTTTTTTTCGATCAAAATTTTTACCCATTAAATAAGTTGAAAAGTTTACATCT